AGCAAAGGAAGCCCTGAGCCCACTCTGGAGGGTGGAGGGATTCACAAAAGTTGGGGTAAGTCATGGAGGGACCAGATGTACCATTCTAAAAGGGCGCTGGTGTAACCTAGTAGTAAGCAAATAATTTTCTGAGCTGGTGTTGAACTCCTGGCCTCAAGTGTACCCTCCCATCTTAGCCTCCCAAAGTGCTGGGATTACCAGCATGTGCCACTGTGCCTGGGCCCTTGATATAATGAGTCATTTATTTTGAGGAACGTTTCCCAGTGTGGACTGGTCTGAAGTTTCCTCATGACTGGATTGAGGTTCTGTATTTTGGGGAAGATGATAATGCTGTGCCCTCGGTGCATCATGTCAGGGGTGCATGATAGCCATGTGTCTTATCACTGGTCATATTGGATATTGGCCCTGACCCCTTGAGTCAAGTGGTGTGTGCCTGATTTCTCCATTGTAAAGGTCATGCTTTATGGCTGGGGGTGGTGGTTTATGCCTGTAAACCCAGCACTTTGGGAGGCTGACGTGGGAGGGTTGCTTGAGCCCAGGAGTTCAAGATCAGCCAGTCTCTACAAAAGAAAGAAGATTAGCCAGACCATGCCTATAGTCCCAGCTGCTTAGAAAGCTGAGGCAGAAGGATTGCCTGAGCCCAGGAATTGGAGGCTGTGGTGAGCTGTGATTGGGCCACTGCACTCCAGCCTGGTAACAGTGTGAGACCCCCCAGCTTAAAAAAAAAAAATTATAAAGGTCATGTTTTTCCCTTTGTCATGAGTACCTTTAACATTTGCAAGTATTATATTTCTCATTATGCTTTTGCCCACTCATTTTGGTATCTATAGATGGTTCCAAAACTAGATTTTTAGTTAACTAAAAGAGGAGTAATTTTGCACATACTAATAATTAAGTTTATTATTATTATTTTGAGACAGGGTCTCTATCACCCGGGCTGGAATGCAGTAGCATGATCATAGCTCACTGTAGCCTCCACCTCTTGGCCTCGAAGGATCCTCCTGCTTCAGCTCCTGAGCAGCTGGGACTACAGGTATATGCTACCATGCCTAGCCTTTTTTTTTTTTTGTAGAGACCGGGTCTTTCTATGTTGACCAGGCTGGGCTTGAACTCCTGGTCTCAAGTGATTCTCCCACCTCAGCCTTTCAAAATAGTGGGACTACAGGCATGAGCTGCTGTACCTGGCCACAGGTTTATTATTAATTCATTAAAAAAGGACATTTACTTTTATTTTTTTTTATTTTTTTGAGTTGGAGTCTCACTCTGTCGCCCAGACTGGAGTGCAGTGGCCGCTCCCGGCCACTGCAGCCTCGACTGCTGGGCTCCGGTGATCCTTCCGCCTCAGCCTTCCGAGTAGCCGGAATGACAGGTACGTGCTACCATGCCCGGCTGATTTTTTTTTATTTATTGTAGAGATGAGGTCTCTCCAAGTTGCCCAGGCGGGTCTCGAACCCGCGGGCTAAGGCAATCCTCTCACCTCAGCCTCCCAAGGCGCGGGATTACAGGCTGAGCCACCAAGCCCGGCTGACATTTACTTTTAGTTACACAGAATATGCTATAGTTCTTTCATTACCTATCAGCATCTAACAGCTGTATATGCTCTAAGTATATCTTAAACTGAAGCATTTCATGTAGTTATTTTGGTGGAATTTCACGTCTATTAAACTACTCTTTTCTTTTAGACTCTGTTGTCTTCTTTTTCCTGCTTTGGGTTTTTCACAGCATGTAGCTCTGTCTTCTTTGCAAGGCATGCATTTGTTATTTTACTGCCTGGCACCACCCCTAAACCATGAGCTCCATGAGGCAGGGGACCTTGTTTTGTTCAAGAAGTAACTGGCACAGAGTACAGAACTGGATACCTATCTGGCACTTAAATCATTAGTGAAGGAACTAATTCCAATTCTAAAACCAGTTTCTAAAATATTTCCCAACTTTTTAATTTGAAACATAGGAACAGTCACAAAAATAGGGCAATGAACACTTGACTTGTATTCTTGCCACTAGATTCTTACAATTGTTAGCATCTTGCCATATTTGCTTGCCTTCATATATATGTGTGTGTGTGCATACTTTTCTTTTTCAGAATTAACTTCCAGACATCAGGACACTTCGCCCTCACCAAATAGTTCAGCAGTTATTTCCTAAAATTAAAGGACATAATGCCACATCATGAATGGACAAAAACAAGGGTACTGGGCAAAATTCAGCCCAGGACTGTTCTTAAATGTTTATTCTTAAAAATAAAGCTGTATTGGAGCACAGCTATGCCCTTTATTTACGTATCATCTAGAGTCACTTTTGCAGTCAGGGCAGAGTTGTTTGGCTCACAAAGCTGAAAACGTCTTCTCTCTGTCTGTGCAACAGAGTGGACATAGTCGACCTGACAGGTCTGCTCTGGAGGCTGGGACCTGGGGACTTGGATTTTGGGAGGGTTCCCACCATTCCCCGTAAAGGGTGCTCCCTTTGCCCACTTTTATGATAAGACATAACATGAACTACCTGGGGGTCCTCCTAGCAAACCATCAACCTGGGGTGGTCCTGAGAGGAAAGGCCCTTTAGAGAAAAAGTTTGCTGCACCCCATTCTGCATAAACATGTCACATTGAACAAACATCTTTCTGCACTATAATCCTACATCCAGTCTATATGCAAATTTTCAGCCATAACTTTAGCTAAAGAAGTACATACTGCTACATTTACAGATCAGTTATCCAAGAATGTCTCATTAGCTTTAGCTGCTCAAAAAATTATTGACCAAAAATTAGAAAGTAAAGTTAATGCATTAGAAGAGGCTATTTTGATTATAGGACAAGAACTTGTAACCTTCAAAATTAAATTGGCCTTGAGATGTCATTCAAAGTTTAAATAAATTTGTGTTACACCTCTCCAAGTAAACAAGTCTATTCATACCTGGGATAGGATTAAAAATCATATCTCCGAAATTTAAAACCATTCCAACATAAGTTTGAATCTCTCCAAGCTTCATCAGGAAGTACAAGACATTAATTCTGCTGAAAAACAATTTGAGTCCACCCAGTTGGCTCAATCTTTAACAATTTTTCTTCATTTGTCAATCAAAAATCATTATTTTATTTTTATTTTTATTTTTTGAGTTAGAGTCTCACTCTGTCGCCCAGACTGGAGTGCAGTGGCCGCTCCCAGCCACTGCAGCCTCCACTGCTGGACTCCGGCGATCCTTCCACCTCAGCCTTCCAAGTAGCTGGAACTACAGGTGCATGCTACCACGCCCAGCTAATTTTTTATTTTATTGTAGAGATGAGATCTCACCCAGGCGGGTCTCGAACCCGCGAGCTCAGGCAATTCACTCACCTCAGCCTCCCAAAGTGCTGGGATTATAGGCTGAGCCACCGAGCCCGGCTGAAAATCGTTATTATCTATATTAATCAATGTGGGAATTTGTGGAGGAATAATCTTGCTACTATTATGTTTACTTCCAGTATTCTTCAAATCATTGAAAAATAACATTTCTCGACTAAGCACGGAATTTCACGGCTTCGTATTAAAAAACAAAAAAGGGGGAGATGTTGGGAGCCAGCCTTGGAGGCCCACCTGATTGACAGGGTCCCGGTGGGCCGAAGACCCCGGACTGCAGGGCGAGCCCAGGAAGTTGAGGCTCTTCTATCTTCCACCTTTGCTGTTTGATACAGCCGAGGAATTCTGTGCAATTGTGGAAGAAGAAAATGGCATGTTTATGTGAAGTACTCACAGCTAACCTGGAAATGTCATGGTTTATTTTTCCATTTCCCACTATGCTGTTTGGCCTTTTCTAACATATGCAAGGGTTAAACTCTGAAGCACATCAAGAATGCTTTCCTTCACTTGGTTCTAAGTTACTAGATATTACTTAAGTAAAAAATGATATAAGTATATTCACTCATTTGATTTAGGATTATGCAGCTTAGTGTTTAGACATAAGGTTTTTTAGAAGCACAAGTTTATAGTAAGTTCATTATGAATTCATTATAAGTTCTAACACTTATATAGGAGTTATGTAAGTAATTTATAACACTGTTTTCACTGACTTAGGATAAAGATTATTGTTAAGGTTTTTACTTAATTCAATAGTTAAAGCTCTGAGTTAACATTTATAGAGTGGGTTTTCACTGAACTCATAATATAATAATCAGACACTTTTATGGCAGATCAGTTAAAACAGACAGCAACCTTGAGGGGCCTCGGAAACATTACTAAAAGCTTCTTTTGAGTTCTCTTTAGAAACAAGCACTGCAAGATAAGAGAAAAGTAATGAGGACATCTGGACGAGGGAGGCGATCACGGGACTCTGAAGAACATAAAAGCCTAAGATGGGAAAATTCCTGACACATGAAGAAATGTACACTTAAATAAACTTTCTTGAGACATTTCAAGGACTGTAATTCGGAACATTGGACTGAAAGTATTATTGTTGGCTTTATGAATAAGACTTGTTGTCTAAATGTTTATGGAAATCTCGGTTTGTTTGCTACTAAAACCACTAAATGGTAACTTTTTAAAAATATGTACATAAAGGAATTTTCTTTGTCTTGCTCCTTCACGAATGGTATAAAAGCTCTGTGTTAACTAACATTAAATTGTCATCTGTTCAGGAAGCAGGTGTCCGAGTCTATTATCTTCATCCTTCGCCTATCCATCTCTCCTTCAGGACATCTCACGACCCTCGCGGGGCGGGCCCCCGCACTTGTTGAATCACTAATTTTATTTTTCTTTGGCTAATTCTGTCTTTCCTGCGAGGCGAGCTCGCTGGCATTCCTGGTAAGTTTTACCTGACATCCCCGAGGCCGCGTAATGCCCCCTGCAAGGAGAGCAAAAGGTCCGCGCGTGCGCACAGGTCTGACTAGCACAGCCCCGCCCCGCTCCGCGTTGTGCCCCTGCGGCTGCAATTGCGCAGCCCGGCCACTAGGCGGCGGCGGCGGCGTACGTGGGGGTGGCGTCGCGAGTCTGTGACGACACGTTGCGCGCCGCGGCCAGTCGGTAGCGGGAGTTGGCAGTGGGTTTCGTATCTCTGGGTTTTAAGGTGTCGGCCGCCGGCGCCATGGTGTCAAGGGTACAGCTGCCGCCTGAGATCCAGCTGGCGCAGCGCCTGGCGGGGAACGAGCAGGTGACCCGCGACCGCGCAGTGAGGAAGCTCCGGAAATACATCGTCGCCAGGACGCAGCGGCCTGCAGGTGGGCAGGGTGGGGGGAGTCCCGGGGCGGGCTGGA